TTTACAGTCGTTTTTTTTTTTTTAACGCACCAACATTGCGTTCAGGAGTAGATTTTATCAGCTTTTTAAACGCTTGTAAACACATGTAAACGCGGCTAACCGCATGTATAAGCGTTTGCGTTTAGAAGTGTTTTTTAACTGTTCCATGTCCAGATGCTGTCCGGAGCCTTTTTTCATCATCAGAAATGCATGCAAAGCGTTTTCCATGTATTCAAATGGACCCGGTACACCAGCGCAGTCAGTTCCAGGTTTCACGTGAAGGAAAAAAATGGTAGAACGTGCCGCATTATGCTCATGATGGGATCCATAGTGAATACAACCAGAAAAGACGGGTCATCTCAACACATACTGCTCTCTCTGCTTCTGCTCTCTCTATTTCTCTCAAAATGTCTGAAATAGTTAACTTTTTACTGTTTTTCAGTGCATTCTGGGCATTTGGGAAGGTCTCCTGATGTTATCTTTAAAAAAACGCTTCTAAATGCAAACGCGCATAAACGCGGTATGTAAACGCGGCTAAACAGATGGTTTTTTTTTAACCTACGTTTTCCAGCAGTCAGTTTCCATCATTCAGAAGTGTTTTCCAAACATCCCGGGTACATGAGACTTAATGCTCCATGTACACGGGACATTTCTGAACGATGGAAAACTGACTGCTGGAAACCTCTAAGTAATGCGTAGGTTAAAAAACGTCAGTTTAGCCATGTTTGCATATCGCGTTAATGCGCGTTTGCGTTTAGAAGCGTTTTTTTAAAGATAACCTCAGAAAACCTCCCAAAATGCCCAGAATGCACTGAAAAACAGTAAATAATTATTTCAGACATTTTGAGAGAAATAGAGAGAGCAGAAGCAGAGAGAGCAGTACGTGTTGAGATGACCCGTCTTTGCTGGTTGTATTCACTATGGATCCCATCATGAGCATAATGGGGCACATTCTACCATTTTTTCCTTCACGTGAAACCTGGAACTGACTGCGCTGGTGTACCAGGTCCATTTGAATACATGGAAAAAGCTTTGCATGCATTTCTGATGATGAAAAAAGGCTCCGGATAGCATCTGGACATGGAACAGTTAAAAAATGCTTCTAAATGCAAACACTTATAAATGCGTTTTTTTTTTTTGTGGTGTTTGGATGTGTTCCAGCTCATTTCCGTGCAGAAATTATTGCAGCCGTGCCTAACATATTTTCTTTCATGCAAAACCTCAAAGTATGGCGTACCGGGTCCATTTGAGGACCAGAAAAACGCTTTGCATACATTTTTCATGATGAAAAAAAGGCTCTGGACAGCATCTGGAAATGGAGTTAAAAAAACATTTTTTGAACGCTAATAAACGCGGTTAGCCGCGTTTCAACCACTGAGATATAATCAACTGCTGAACGCAAGTTTTCTGCGTTGAAAAAAACGACTGTAAACTCAACTGCCTGTAAATGAAGATGTGTACATGGACACATAGGAAAAACATTAGGGAGAGTTCAGGGGCTGCTGAAAAAAAAAACGCTCAACAGATCCTGAATGTCAGTTTATCAGCTGCAGTGTACACGAGCCCTAAGGCTCCATTCACACCAATGCTTTTTTTTTAGTGCTTTTTGCAGAAACGCACTACAGTCCAACATGGTTTCCTATGGAACATGTTCACATCGATGCTTTTTTTTTTTTTTTTGAGCTGCTGCATTTTTGGAATGGGGCAGAAACTTTTTTTTTTTTTAAAAGCATTTTTGCTACAATTTTTGCTACAATAGAGTTCAATGGAGAATCTGCTGAAATACATGGTAGTGTGCTTTTGCCGCATTTTGCCTTTTTATTCTGCCCAGCAAAAAAAAAATTCCATTTAAAAAAAAAAAAAAGGGCTGAACAAAATGTGGTAAAAACGCATCAAAAATGTGTGTAGAAAAACTCAAAACGAACTGCAAAACGGACAAAAAGCAAACTGCGTAGGTGTGAATGGAGCCTAAAGCCTGTGTGTACACGGACACAGAGGATAACATGCTGGGGGGGTTACTGGCTGTAGAAAAAAAGCCAAAAACAGCCGCAGGAGGACTAAATGCAGAATAGTCATGTTCAAATCCTTTTCCAACCAGGATGTTTTGTTAGATCGTGATCACCTCAATGTGAGGTTATTCTTTCGCGGACGCAGCGTGGAGTCATGTGCATGAAGTTAGCTGAGGGCACAGAAGAAGAACTGACTACAAAGGTTACACAAGATTCTGCTTTGTACTGCTCTGGGATTTGCTGATGTTTCAGGATTACTTTTTTCTAGCAGCGGTTTATGGCTCAGTTAATGCTTTTACCACTTTTAGATTTCTTTTATATCCCCTTTTTAGCTGAAACAAGAAACATGGTTTAATGAATCACAATCAAAGCAATCCAACGGAACAAAGTCCAGGGTCCATGTGCAGTCACTTGGCAGTTAGAAAATCTACACTTTTCAACATATAAAGTGTTACTAAACCCACAACAGTATTATTATTATACAGGATTTATAGAGCGCCAACAGTGTGGTCAAGCGCTTTACAATATAAGGCAGACAGTACATTACAATACATTTCAGTACAGGGGAATAGGAGGGCCCGTCTCGTGGAGCTTACAATCTACATCTAAAAAAGGAAGGGGGAGGTGATACAAAAGGTGATCGCTGCGGGGGATGATCTGGTGGAGGTGATTCAAGTACAGTTCTTAGGTGGAGGTGGGGTAGGCTTCCCTGAAGAAGTGAGTTTTCAAAGATCGCCTAAAGGCAGACAGGGTGGGGGCTGACCGGACATGCTGTGGTAGGGAGTTCCAGAGGGTGGGGGAGGCTCTGGAGAAGTCCTGGAGGCGAGCATGGGAGGAGGTGATGAGGGAGCTAGAGAGGAGGATATCATGGGAGGAGCGGAGTGGGCGATTTGGGCAGTATCTGTGGATGAGGTTGGCGATGTAGCTAGGGGCAGTGTTGTGGATGGCTTTGTAAGCTGTGGTTAGTAGTTTGAATTTTATACGTTGGGTTAGTGGGAAGCCAGTGAAGGGATTGGCAGAGAGGAGCAGCAGTCGCTGATCGGTTGGTAAGGTGTATGAGTCTAGCGGCAGTCGCTGATCGGTTGGTAAGGTGTATGAGTCTAGCGGCAGTCGCTGATCGGTTGGTAAGGTGTATGAGTCTAGCGGCAGTCGCTGATCGGTTGGTAAGGTGTATGAATCTAGCGGCAGTCGCTCATCGGTTGGTAAGGTGTATGACTCTAGCGGCAGTCGCTCATCGGTTGGTAAGGTGTACGAGTCTTGCGGCAGTCGCTGATCGGTTGGTAAGGTGTACGAGTCTAGCGGCAGTCGCTGATCGGTTGGTAAGGTGTACGAGTCTAGCGGCAGTCGCTGATCGGTTGGTAAGGTGTACGAGTCTAGCGGCAGTCGCTGATCGGTTGGTAAGGTGTATGAGTCTAGCGGCAGTCGCTGATCGGTTGGTAAGGTGTATGAGTCTAGCGGCAGTCGCTGATCGGTTGGTAAGGTGTACGAGTCTAGCGGCAGTCGCTGATCGGTTGGTAAGGCGTACGAGTCTAGCGGCAGTCGCTGATCGGTTGGTAAGGCGTACGAGTCTAGCGGCAGTCGCTGATCGGTTTGGTAAGGCGTAGAGTCTAGCGGCAGTCGCTGATTCGGTTGGTAAGGCGTACGAGTCTAGCGGCAGTCGCTGATCGGTTGGTAAGGCGTATGAGTCTAGCAGCAGTCGCTGATTGGTTGGTAAGGCGTACGAGTCTAGCAGCAGCGTTCATAATAGACTAAAGGGGGGATAACCTGTGTAACGGTAGACCAGTGAGGAGGGGAGTTGCAGTAATCGAGGCGGGAATATAACCAAGGCGTGGATGAGTGGTGTCATTGGTCAGGAAGGGGCGGATTTTGGAAATGTTCCGCAGGTTGATGCGGCAGGATTTAGCCAGTGAGTGGATATGGGGCCCAAAAGGAGAGGTCAGAGTCCAGGATTACGCCGAGCACCCTGGCATGAGGGGAAGGACCAATGGTTGTGCTGTTGATCTTAATGGGTAAAGCTACAGCTCAGTTTTTGAAAGATTGAGTTTAAGGCAGTCATGTGACATCCATGCTGATATGTCGCTTAGTAGATTTGTGATACGTGAGGAGAATGAGGGGGTGAGTCGGGGAGTGTAGTACAATCAGTCTGTATATGCAGTAAAGCATGCTTGGTATACTCACTGTCACCTAAGGGGTTAATCCTCTGCATTGTGTAAAAAAAGGCTGTCTGATCCTCCTTTTCTTCTACTGTCCCCAATCCATCTGCAGATAGTGCAGAGCTCTAGGGGTCACTCTGCACATGCTCAGTTTGTTGTGTATTGCTAGACATTTTTTTTTCCGGGGAGGGTTAATGTGATCAGCACAAGGTCAATCAGTACTGTCCAGACAGAGGGTCAGGGGTCATGCAGCCTCATAAGACAGTCAGAGCAGAATTAAAACTCCTCCTACAAGCTTTAACGTGCTTGACTGGACACTGATAGAAGTCACAAGACTGCTATATACTGCTGATGAGAAAAGGTATTTAGCAGTTTATATTTACTACAATAATTGCATTTCCATGTTCTGTGTACTGTGGGAGACCAGATATAGTGAATGAGGGGTCCTGGGAGACCAGATATAGTGAATGAGGGGTCCTGGGAGACCAGATATAGTGAATGAGGGGTCCGGGGAAACCAGATATAGTGAATGTAGGGTCCGGGGGGAGACCAGATATAGTGAATGCGGGGTCCGGGGAGACCAGATATAGTGAATGTAGGGTCCTGGGGGGGAGACCAGATATAGTGAATGCAGGGTCCGGGGAAACCAGATATAGTGAATGCGGGGTCCTGGGAGATCAGATATAGTGAATGCAGGGTCCTGGGAGATCAGATATAGTGAATGCGGGGTCCTGGGAGATCAGATATAGTGAATGCGGGGTCCTGGGAGATCAGATATAGAGAATGCGGGGTCCTGGGAGACCAGATATAGTGAATGCAGGGTCCAGGGAGACCAGATATAGTGAATGCAGGGTCCGGGGAGATCAGATATAGTGAATGCAGGGTCCGGGGAGATCAGATATAGTGAATGCAGGGTCCTGGGAGACCAGATATATAGAATGCAGGGTCCTGGGAGATCAGATATAGTGAATGCGGGGCTTGGGAGACCAGATATAGTGAATGCGGGGTCCGGGGAGATCGGGTATAGTGAATGCGGGGTCCAGGGAGACCAGATATAGTGAATGCGGGGTCCAGGGAGACCAGATATAGTTAATGCGGGATCCTGGGAGACCAGATATAGTGAATGCGGGGTCCTGGGAGACCAGATATAGTGAATGGAGGTCCTGGGAGATCAAATACTGACACCAAACTGAGCATGTACATGCCTATGGTTCAGTCTGGAGATAAAAGGTGGTCGCTTGAAAAAGGGGAGGAACAGAGAAGAAAGGATTAAACAGCTTTTTTACACAATGCAGAGGATTAACCTCTTAGGTTCCACAGTGAGTATAACAAGCATGCTTTACTGCAGCTACAGACTGATTTTACTGCTGTGGGTTTAGTAACACTTGAATTAGCTCCTGAGAAAGAAATGAAAGTGAATACTATAGAATGTCTCTTGAGTGACAATTCAGACATGCTGACATCACATCCCACTGGAATCAAAACACCCATGCGATCCGATTCACCCAATCGCACTGCGCTCTGCGAACTTTTTTGGGGTGTCGTTAACATAGAGTGTGTTTTCCAGTGCGATTCTAAGGTAGTGCAGAAAACGCACAGAATTCGCTGCCAATCCTGCACAGCATCAGTGTGAAAGGCCACATAATCTGATGGGACGATTGTTGTTGAAATGAATGGTCTGGTAACAGGGTCAATGGAACTAAAGTGAACATATAAAAAGAATGTGAGCAGGCAGGCTACTTATTGTAGAAGGGGGATTGCCTCTCGGGGGATCAAGAAGGAATTTTTTTCCCCAGCAGGAGCAAATTGGATTGTGCTTTGCTGGTTATATTTGCCTTCCTCTGGATCAACTGTGGGTGTAGAATTACAACTTTTTTTTTTTTAATGGTTGAACTGGATGGACTTTGGTCTTTTTTTCAGCCAGACTAAGTATGTAACTATGCGTGGTATGTCTCTTCTGCAATAAAAAAAAACCTGACCTGCATTTTCTGTCTTCTGAGCTGTGATACCTGTGTAGGTAAGTACCTGTGTACAAAACATGAAATACTCCTAACCCATCCCACTGAACAGCGCTGCATTGAAGAGGAATGGTCAGGTGATGAATCTATAGACACCAAAACCTCCGGAAGTGTCCACCTCCTAAGTCCTCCCTAACACTCTCTGGTTCCTCCTGACAGCCTCCGCATCACTGCTCTGTCAGGTGGTCACAAGAGGGCAGCTTTCATTTTCATCCTCTGGCTTCAGGGTTTTCTGAAGACGTTCTAATATCAATTTCTGCATATTTGACATGAATGAACCACGACATCCCCATTATTCTCATACAGAGTTACATAGTTAGTCTGGCTGAAAAAAGACAAAAGTCCATCCAGTTTAACCGTAAAACAAAAAAAAAAAAGTTATAATCCTACACCCACAGTTGATCCAGAGGAAGGCAAAATAAAAAAAACCCAGCAAAGCATGATCCAATTTGCTCCTGCTGGGAAAAAAATTCCTTCCTGATCCCCCGAGAGGCAATCAGATATTCTCTGGATCAATTTTACCTATAAATGTTATATCCAGTTATACTCTGTGTATCCAAGAAAGAATCCAGGAATTTTTTAAAGCAATCCACTGAACTGGCCAGAACCAACTCTTGAGGGAGTCTATTCCACATTTTCACAGCTCTCACTGTGAAGAAACCTTTCCATGTTTGGAGATTACATTTCTTTTCCTCCAGACGTAAAGAGTGCCCCCTTGTCCTCTGTGATGACCTCAGGGTGAATAACTCTACACCGAGTTCACTATATGAACCACTGATGTATTTATACATGGAGATCATATCCCCCCCTTATGTATTATACATGGAGATTATATCCCCCCCTTATGTATTATACATGGAGATCGTATCCCCCCTTATGTATTATACATGGAGATCATATCCCCCCTTATGTATTATACATGGAGATCATACCCCCCCTTATGTATTATACATGGTGATCATATCCCCCCTTATGTATTATACATGGTGATCATATCCCCCTTATGTATTATACATAGAGATCATATCCCCCCTATGTATTTATACATGGAGATCATATCCCCCCTATGTATTTATACATGGTGATCATATCCCCCTTATGTATTATACATGGAGATCATATCCCCCCTTATGTATTATACATGGAGATCATATCCCCCTTATGTATTATACATGGAGATCATATCCCCCCTTATGTATTATACATGGAGATCATATCCCCCCCTTATGTATTATACATGGTGATCATATCCCCCCTTATGTATTATACATGGAGATCATATCCCCCCTTATGTATTATACATGGAGATCATATCCCCCCCCTTATGTATTATACATGGAGATCATATCCCCCCTTATGTATTATACATGGAGAACATATCCCCCCTTATGTATTATACATGGAGATCATATCCCCCCTTATGTATTATACATGGAGATCATATCCCCCCCTTATGTATTATACATGGTGATCATATCCCCCCTTATGTATTATACATGGAGATCATATCCCCCCTTATGTGTTATACATGGAGATCATATCCCCCCCTTATGTATTATACATGGAAATCATATCCCCCCTTATGTATTATACATGGTGATCATATCCCTCCTTATGTATTATACGTGGAGATGATATCCCCCCTTATGTATTATACATGGAGATCATATCTCCCCTTATGTATTATACATGGAGATCATATCCCCCCTTATGTATTATACATGGAGATCATATCCCCCCCTTATGTATTATACATGGAGATCATATCCCCCCTTATGTATTATACGTGGAGATGATATCCCCCCTTATGTATTATACATGGAGATAATATCCCCCTTATGTATTATACATGGAGATCATATCCCCCCCTTATGTATTATACATGGAGATCATATCCCCCCTTATGTATTATACATGGTGATCATATCCCCCCCTTATGTATTATACATGGAGATCATATCCCCCTTATGTATTATACACGGACATCATATCCCCCTTATGTATTATACATGTTGATCATATCCCCCCCTTATGTATTATACATGGAGATCATATCCCCCCTTATGTATTATACATGGAGATCATATCCCCCCTTATGTATTATACATGGAGATCATATCCCCCCTTATGTATTATACATGGAGATCATATCCCCCCCTTATGTATTATACATGGAGATCATATCCCCCCTTATGTAATATACATGGTGATCATATCCCCCCCTTATGTATTATACATGGAGATCATATCCCCCTTATGTATTATACATGGAGATCATATCCCCCCCTTATGTATTATACATGGAGATCATATCCCCCCTTATGTATTATACATGGAGATCATATCCCCCTTATGTATTATACATGGTGATCATATCCCCCCTTATGTATTATACATGGAGATCATATCCCCCCTTATGTATTATACATGGAGATCATATCCCCCCTTATGTATTATACATGGACATCATATCCCCCTTATGTATTATACATGGAGATCATATCCCCCCTTATGTATTATACATGGACGTCATATCCCCCTTATGTATTATACATGGAGATCATATCCCCCCTTATGTATTATACATGGAGATCATATCCCCCCTTATGTATTATACATGGTGATCATATCCCCCTTATGTATTATACATGGAGATCATATCCCCCCCTTATGTATTATACATGGAGATCATATCCCCCCTTATGTATTATACATGGAGATCATATCCCCCTTATGTATTATACATGGAGATCATATCCCCCCTTATGTATTATACATGGAGATCATATCCCCCCTTAATCTCCTCTTCTCATTATAGAATAAATTCAGTTCCTCTAATCTTTCCTCATAGCTGATCTCCTCCATGCCTCTTATCAGTTTGGTTGCCCTTCTCTGTATTTTCTCCAGTTCCCCAATGTTCTTTTTGTGAATTGGTGCCCAAAACTGAACTGCATATTCCAGATGAGGTCTTACTAATGATTTGTACCGGGGTAATATGATATCTCTCTCTCTGGAGTCTATACCTCTTTTAACACGAGAGGATTTTGCTCGCTTTAGAAACAGCATCTTGGCATTGCTGCCATTATTAAGCTTGTGATCTACCAACAACTCCCAGATCCTTCTCCACCATTGTTGGTAATTTCCTTTAATTGAAATATTGTTTTTTTCTCTGAATCTGTACTAAATCCTGGTATGTTTTATGGCCTTTAAGGTGGACCATTGACTGGAGCTATCTTCAACCCTGTGTTGGCCTTTGCAGTTGTCTTCTTGTGCCATGGTCACAGCTACCTGCAGTATATCCTTGTCTATTGGCTTGGACCTCTTATTGGTGAGTATTATTTCACTGGCAATAGAATAGAACGTCCAGAATTGTAGGAGGTGCTAGAGATAAAATATAGTGCCCTGACTCTAGTCCCTCGTACAACATGGTACCCTGTACCCTGTCCCCATCACCTACGAAAATATAGTACCCTGACTCCAGTCCCTCGTACAACATGGTACCCTGTTCCCTGTCCCCATCACCTACAAAAATATAGTACCCTGACTCCAGTCCCTCGTACAATATGGTACCCTGCCCCCAATACCTAACCATATTTTAGGAGGAGTTGGGTGTGAGGGCCACTTTGTACGAAGGGCTGGGGACAGGGTACTAGTATATTTTAGCAGAAGTTGGGGGCAGGGTATCATATTTTAGGAGAAGTTAAAGTCAGGCTACCATATTTTAGGAGTTGAGGAAGGCTACCATATTTTTAGAGGTGTTGGGGGCAGGGTACCATATTCAGGAGGAGCTGGGAGGGTTTATCATATCTTAGGAGAACTTGGAGGCAGTACATGATATTGTAAGGAAGCTGGGGGCGGGATACCATATTTTAAGATAAGCTGGGGGCGGGATACCATATTTTAAGATAAGCTGGGGGTGGGGTACCATATTATAAGAGGGAATGGGTACTATCTTTTGGAGTTAGGGGCAGGATATCTTATTTTTAGAGGAGTTGGGGGCAGGGGACCATATTTTAGGAGGAGTTGGGGACAGGGTACCATTTTAAGGAGAAGCTAAGGTGGGTTACCATATTCTAAGAGGGGCTGGGGGCAGGGTGCCAACATTTTAGGAGGAGTTGGAGGCAGGCTGACATATTTTAGGAGGATTTGGTGG